TACCTCCAGGTTTGCGAGTGTCTCATAGAGTTCTGAGATCTCGCCGATGCCGGGGAGGAAGATGAGAATCGACTCGCCGCCGATGCCCAGGTTGCGGATCAGGTCGTAACACACGGTGTCCAGCCCCTTAATGCACACATAACATCCATCCATCCATCCATCCGTGTGTTGACAAACAATTGAGCATCGCAACAACGCACCTTGAGGATGTTTGGCTGCATTTTGGTGTCGATGAGTGCGTGTGTGACGTCCGCCCCGAGCGAGTCCATCTTGCGGAAGTCGGCGTCGTCGTCGTTCTCGTCTTGGTCGCCATCCTCCTCCTATAAAGAAACGCACACACACCATGTCATGTCATGTCATGTTGTGTGTGCTGGGGGCGGCGGGGTGATTCACACCTACTCACCATTTGCTCGTATCGGTTCCTCATGTACTGTGGCTGTGGCTGGTTCCCTTTGCCACGTTTGCGATCGGGAGCGGCGGCATCATCGAACTCACGAGTCGTCTGCACACACAGGGAGCGAGCGAGGGAGGGAGGGAGGGAGGGAGGGAGATGGACACTTGCCGGACACACACACACACACAGGTGCGTCTGCGTGCGTGAGTACCTGTGTGAGGACCCCCTTGCTGTTGCTGGTGAGCCGCAGCTGAGTGCGGCCGGGCCCCAGCTTGCGCGCCAGGAGGTTCTCCACCACAGTGCCGTTGGCCAGCAGCAGCTCATGCTGCTGATGAGCGTGAGCACCACCACCTGCACACACATAAGACACCCTCCATGTGGTGGGTGGGTGGGTGGGTGGTCTCTCTCTGTCTATGTGGATACCTACCGTGTGCGGCCGCCATGTGTGGGTCGAGTGGCGGGAAGTCCTTTGGCTGCAGCGGTGGGTGGGGCTGGCCATGGTGGTGGGAGGGGTGGGTCGACGAGGGAATGTTCGTCAGCTGATTCAGATCTGATGGACAGAGACAAGGAGAAGGGGTGCATGGGTGGCATTTTTTGTTTGTCTGTGCTGGGTGCTCTTGTGGTGCGCACGCACATATGGTTTGGACAGGGAATCGTTTGGCGCCGACGAAGATGGTGTTGGGGGTCATGTTGTTGACGGCAAAGTAGGACGCAAAGAGCTCACCCTGACCGACACACGACGCAAGAAAGACGCATCCGCACATCCAAACACAGCCACAGCACGCGCAGAAGATGACCTGGAGTGTGGCCGACATGATGACGAGTCTCATGTGCGGGTGGGCGTGCATCTGCAGCTTGATCACCAAACTGACACACACAATACACAAAGTCAACACATGCACCCACACGTATTGCGCACCCATTTCACCTCAGCAGGTCCGCGTCAAGGTCCCGCTCGTGCACTTCGTCCAGAATGATGTGGCTGTAGGACCGCAGGTAGCTCGGGTCGTTCACCAACACCTGCACAGGCGAGTACAGACGCACCCGTCAAAAGCCATGGAGGAATGGGTGCAATACCTACCTGCAGCAGGTATCCCGTGGTCACGAACGTAAGCTTGGTCCTCCCGGAGACCATCGAGTCGCCGCTGATGCGATAGCCTACCGTCTGGCCCAACTGCACCCATTCCCACACACGCACGCATAGAGAGACGGTGGAAGATACCCTCTCTCCCTCCCTCCCTCTCTCTCTCTCTCTGTGTGTGTGTGTGTGTGTGTGCGTGTGTGTGTGTGTGAGAAAGAGAGCGTGTGCTTACGTCTTCGCCCAGCTCGCTGGCCACTCTTCTCGCCAGCGCGATGCACGCCAGTCTGCGTGGCTGTGTGCACATGATGTTCAAATTGGACCTGGGCAAAGGGCCACACACGCGCGTCTGTCTGTCTTTTCCGGGCACATATATGTCCTTTCTCACGTCGATTTCATCGCCTGGTGGTGCTGCAGCAGAAACTGCGGCACACGAGTGGACTTGCCGCAGCCCGTCTCGCCCTGATCCATCACACGCACACACGCGCAATCGCACACACCGTCCGTGTGTCCCCACCCATCCACTCATCAGAGGACCGCACTCACTCACCTGTACGCATGTGACGGGGTTGTGTTCGATGTGGTCGACAATCATCTGCCGGTGCTTCATAATCGGCAGGTCCTCCTCCTCTGCTGCTGCCGCTGCTGCTGGTGGGGCCGCGGCCATCTCGCCCTCAGTCTCCATGGGATGGCCGCTCGACGATGCACCACTCTGGTCCATCATCACGGTGTCACCATCACCACCTACAGATACGTGACACAGGTATGGGTGTGTATCATTTCGCCTATGGGTGTGACAGTCGTCCCACCTCTGCCCGACTGGTCCTCATGGTGCCACGCCATCCTGGGGTGTGCTGGGGGGGGTGGCGGTTGTGGCGGTTGTGGCGGCGGGATGGTCATGGGCGGCGGGGGCTCGGGTGCGTGGGGATGGGATCCCAGTAAGGCCGCCATCAGCGACTTGCTGTGTGATAATCGTCAGGGCAACGAGAGAGAGAGCATGAGTGTGCTTGTCGTGCTTCTGTCTCGCTCTGTCTGGCGTGCTCACCCTCCCGTGTATTGAGGAGCTGTGGCTGGCGCATTCGACGCCATCGTCTGATTGATGATCTGGCGCTTCAAGTTGAGCAGCTGTTGCCGTGCTCCTCTCCTGGTGTTGCGTGTTCAGATGAGTGCGATGGCAGCCAGCTCTGCCCGGACTTCTACGTCCGTCTGCACACCTCTGTGACCGTCACTCTTCGCCGGCTGGCGGCGTCAGACGGCCGGTCAAGTCTTGATCTATCCACGGATGCCACTCTCAGCGGCAGCGGGACTTTTACGCTGCTGTTGCTGCGAGCTAGCCTGCGAGCTTCTGCCTTTAAATTTGTCTGCCCTAACCCAAACCCTCTATTGCCCGTTCGCTTCCCCGGTGGAGCTCCAAGAGGAGATCTATCAAGCCGACGGTTTTCCTTTCTACCGAATCGGTGTCAGCTTGCTCCACCGCTGTCCTCTTTGGCTGGCAACGGCCTCGTGTTGACTGACCTCAACAAATAAGGATCTTTGTCCTCTTCGCTCATCTCTTCCCCTTCACGCGATGGCGACTGTTCTCATCATGATGATTCTGTGTGTGGTGTCGACCATGGTCGGCACGAAGGCAATACCCGCACAACAGGTGGGTATCCACACACACACCATGTCCCAGTCATCAGATTCTCTGGCGTCCATGGCTGACTCGTGTGTTCAGGTCCAGTTGCGCGGCCTGCAGGTGTCCCCTCCTGGCAACACGTCGATGTCTGCGTCAGAGTATGAGGGACTGGTCGGTCTGCTGAATGACACCACACAACTCACCTCACTCTACCGGTAGACACACATCATGCCATCTGACAGCTAATGGGCAGTTTCCGTCTGTGTGTATCTGCGTGTGTGTGTGTGCGAAGGACGTCTGTCCACGGCACCAACTATAGCGACCTGCTGGACCGAGTGGGCGACGCGAAGCCTCTCGTCTTTGTGATCAAGAAGGACAAGTATGTGATCGGCGTGTATATCAGTGAAGGCATTCAGGAGCCCGCCAACCGGACCGATTGGAACTACTACCACAGTGGTGTGTGGTGGTTCTCACTGGCCGGCCACTTCCCCCAACCGACCAAGATGGATTTACCCCCAGACGATCAGCTGATGCTTGTGGCGGGGAGAGAGGGACAATTGGATTTCTCTGGACGAACAGTGCGTATCGGTGATGAGCTGAGGCTGGGCAACAATAATCCTCTTGAGGGCATCCGTGTTTGCCAGCAGTCCACTCGCAGCGATTATCTGCCTGAGGGCTACACGGGAGAGAGGGATGAGGATGGCAATGCCGTGTTGGGCGGGTCGCTGGAGTTCATGGCTGACGAGATAGAGGTGCTGCAGGTATGGACACGGCCCATCCACTTTTTCGATGCTTTGACGATCCTCTGACGATCGTGTCTGCAGGTCCCTTACCCTACAGCGTCAGAGTACGAGGCGCTGGTCGGCCTGCTGGGCATGGGCAATGACACCACACAACTCACCTCACTCTACCGGTAGACCCACATTGTGCCAACAGACAGCCAATGGGCACATTCCGTCTATGTGTGTGTGTGTATGTCTGTGTCTGTAGGGCGTCTGTCAACGGCACCACCTATGGCGACCTGCTGGACAATGTGGGCGACGCAAAGCCTCTCGTCTTTGTGGTCAGGAAGGACGAGTATGTGTTCGGCGTCTACATCAGTGCCGGCATCCAGGAGCCCGACAACCAGACCAGCTACCATCAGACGACAGTGATGTGTGGTGGTTCTCACTGGCCGGCCACTTCCCCCAACCGACCAAGATCGAGATACTTCGAGAGTGGCAGGAAGTGCGTGTGGCGGGGAGAAAGAGGAATGTGGAGGGTGCAAATATGATCATCGGGGGGCATCTGGTGTTGGGTGCTGGCCCCACTGTCAATGGCCCGCCTTCTGCCGACATCCGCAGCTGCCTTCAGTATACCTTGAGCTTCTACAAGCCTGAGGGCTACACGGGAGAGAGGGATGAGGATGGCAATGCCGTGTTGGGCGGGTCGCTGGAGTTCATGGCTGACGAGATAGAAGTGCTAGAGGTATGGACACGGCCCATCCACTTTTTCGATGCTTTGACGATCCTTTGACGATCGTGTCTGCAGGTCCCTTACCCTACAGCGTCAGAGTACGAGGCGCTGGTCGGCCTGCTGGGCATGGGCAATGACACCACACAACTCACCTCACTCTACCGGTAGACACACATCATGCCAACAAGAGGGATCATCTGACAGCTAATGGGCAGATTCCGTCTGTGTGTATCTGCGTGTGTGTGTGTGTGTGTGTGTGAAGGACGTCTGTCCAGGGCACCAACTATAGCGACCTGCTGGACAATGTGGGCGACGCGAAGCCTCTCATCTTTGTGATCAGGAAGGACCAGTATGTGTTTGGCGTCTACATTAGTGCCGACATCCAGGAGCCCGACGACCTGACTACCTGGCGCAAGTACGACAGTGATGTGTGGTGGTTCTCACTGGCCGGCCACTTCACCACACCGACCAAGATCGAGATACCAGAATATAGGCAGTGGGTGGAGGTGGCGGGGAGGGAGGAAGATGAGGTGCGCGGGAATATGTACATCGGTGGAGGTATCATTTTGGGTGCTGGCCCCACTGTCAATGACCCGCCTGCTGCCGACATCCGCAGCTGCAATCAGTCCTTGTTTGATATGCCTGAGGGCTACATGGGAAGGGATGAGGAGGGCTATCCTGTGTTGGGCGGGTCGCTGAAGTTCATGGCTGACGAGATAGAGGTGCTGCAGGCGGCCCCTTTCATTTCGTCAGCGGCGCAGATGGGTGTCTGTCTGTCGGTCTGTCTGTGGCTGTCGCTATTCCTGTTTTTGATGTAACCCAGCCATGAGTTGTTCGTGTCGTTCATCTGGGCGGGCCATTCTCTTCATGGCGGATGAGATAAAGGTGCCGCGCGACGCACGTGGTGCAGTAGTGGGGGAGAGAGGGAGCGAGGGAGGGAGGGATGTGCCTCTCCCTCTATGGTGCTGCACTGATATAGCCTTCCGTTTATCTGTGCCGTCCTCTCTGCGCCCCTCCTGTCTGTCTGTCTGTCTGTTTGCCTGTCCTCTGAGTGTAGCTGATCTGTCAGCACACTGCTGGTGCCCCTGCGTGTGTGTGTGTGTTTTGGTGCGTCTGAGTGGCTGTGGCTGCCTGTGTGTTTGTCGTTATCCTGCCCTGAGGCATTTGTGTGAATGTCTGTGTGAGTGTGTTCGCGTCGGCGAGGGGCCCTGCCCTGTCTGCGTACAGACAGACAGCTGCTGACTGATTGAATGAGTGGGACAATGCGTGGGTGCGTCAGATGAGATCGGTAAGTTCATGGCGGATGAGATAGAGGTGCTGCACGTGGTGCAGTAGCCAGGGAGGGAGGGAGGGAGGGAGGGAGATGTGCGTTTCCCTCTATGGTGCTGTACTAACATAAATAGGTGCCATCCACTAGCTGTGCCGTCCTCTCTGCGTCCTCGTCTGTCTGCCAGTCTGTCTGCCAGTCTGTCTGCTTGTCTGTCTGCCTGTCTGCCTGTCTGTCTGCTTCCATGCCTCCACGCCTGAGTGCAGCTGATCTGTCAGCACACTGCTTGTGGCCCGTGTGTGTGTGTATTGGTGTGTTTGTTTGTTGAAGTGAGTGTGTGTGGGGTGGCTGGACTGAATGTAGTGACTAGGTGGATGTGGCTGCGTGTGTGTTTGTCGTTATTCTGCCCTGATGTGTTTCTGCGAGTGTGAGTGTGTGTGTGTTGAGTGAATGACAGACAGAGAGCCAGCCAGCCGGACAGCCGGCAAGACAGCTGCATGCCTTACATGGACCTTTTGGAGGTGCGGATGAGCCATGAGTGATTTAATGAATGGGTCAATTTCGGAGTCCATTTTGCCCCTTCCCGTTCAGCAATCAGCCTAAACCCTAAACCCTACCCTAAACCCTAAACCCTGAGCCCACTTCTATCTGGGTTCTGGGTTTGAAACCCCAAACCCCATACCTTCAGCACCGAAAGTGGGGAACATAGAAATGGCACTGTCCAAGACTGTCGGCGATGTGGTTGAGTTCGACGTGGCCGGCACGCCATTCAAAGTGGCGAGGAGTACCATCCTGCGGTACCCGACCACCGTGCTGGCGACGCTGGTTGGGCGGGTATCAGAGGCGCCGCAGGCAGAGAAGGGCAGCAGCATATTCATCGACAGCAACCCAGAGCTGTTCCCGCTGGTGCGCAGAAGCACGGAGATCTCTCTCTGCGTCTTTTGACGGATGTGGTCTCACCGTCTCTCGCCGTGTGCACATGGTTGTGTGTGTCAGATACTTGATTACTATCGCCATGCGACGCCCGTGGTGGTGCCGTCAGGACTGTCTAAGCGGCAAGTCAAACGAGAGGTCAGTGAGCGCACACGCACGCGTATAGAGCTTTGCGCACACTCACGTACACATCGCGTGCCGCTGTGTGTTCAGTTTGATTATTTTGCGATTGAGGTCCGCACCGCTGGGCTCGTGCCACAGCACTCACCATCAATCACGGCAACCACATCCATGTGTGTCGTGTCTGTCTGTCTGTCTGTCTTCGTCCGCTGTGCAGCTGGGTGATAATGACATGCTGGTAGAGACGGAGTCAGTGGCTGCTCTGCAGAGCACAGTGCGGGGCATACTGCAGTCCATGGACCATGATGCGGAAGACGCACTCCTCGAGGTGGGCAGGGAGGGGGGACACACATGCGGCAGGTCCCGGGGATGTGCGCGTCAGTTTGTCGCTAAGAAGATGACGCGCGAGATCGTCGGCAGGGCGGGGGCGTGCACAAGGGTGAGACAGACAGACAGACAGACAAACAGACACTCCGCAGACAGACATTCCTGCGTCAATTGTCCATCTGCAACATGTCAGTCGTCTTTTCACGTGGACATCAAGGGCGAGTACATGGACAAGGCCTTCACTGCCAAGTGCCATGAGGAGCTCGACAGGGTGCTCGCCAACTACCACAGGGGCAAGACAGAAGACTACTTCGGCAGGGTCATTCAACAGCTCAAAGGGTAACCCACGACACGACACGCCACGCGGCGCAAACGTTCCCACAAGCATAAGCACGCTTATGCCCTTCTCCCTCTGTTTGTGTCTGTCTGTGTGTGCAGGTATGGTTACGACTGGCGTGCGGCGCCGAATGGGCTGGGGGGTGATGTGCTGCTGCCTTCGGTGCCGCGAGGGCGCGACACGTCGCCGTCCAGCTCACCCGTTTGCGAAAAGTGCGCCGCGCAGTTCTGACCGAGGGACGAACGAGCGAGGCGTTAAATGCTGGCCGGCGACCAATAAGCAAAGAGGCCCTTTCTCGGTGTACATGTTTCTCGGTATACATGTAGGCTTTTGTGCTTCTGTCGGCGGGCGGCAGAAGGAATTCGCGATGCATAAATGCTGTGTTGGTGCCGTGGGCTGTGTTGAGAGAGATGGTGTCTCTTCCTTTTGGCCGTCCGCAGGTAGTGGTGTCTTGCAGCCGTCTCCAGCTGTGATGCGCATCATTGCGTGTGGAGGGCTTCTGTGAATGAGGGCTGTTTTGCGGCGGGGCTTTGTTGTCGAATGAATGCGCTCCTTTTCGAATGTTCGTGTCGTGTGCTGTGCATACACAGATCGCATCATGCCGTTGGTTGTACAGGATTCTCCAGTACGTAAGCAAACGCGCCTCTATCCATATCTCCATGTGTGTGTGTGTGTGTGTGTGGATGTGCCCGTCTCGTTTCCTTTTATCGTTTTGATGCCGTGCGTGTCGCAAATGGGGGATTTCAAGTGTTTGTGGCTGGCTACCTTACTGACCTCGTACGAGACAGAGTCTGAGCCATCAAGCTGTCGATCGGCCCACTTGTCATGCTTCGCTTCATCGCATGCATTCGTTTTTCCCGCAGGCCAATGGCCGCCTGCTCGCCCCATCCACGCCACACCCACCCTTCATCGCATGCACCATACCTGAATCACCCGCCTGTGTGCTCTTTTCGTGTGTCCGCTCGGTCTCTTTTGTGTGTAGGGAGAGAGAGAGGGGAGGGTGGGGGGCTGTTTCGTTCCTTCAGCGTTCGTCGGGTCTATCATGCTGTCGCGTGATTTGCATGCTGTCTTGTGCTTTGTTCCTCGCTGAAGCTCCTGCACGTGTGAGTGATATGTCGGTGGCCACTTGCGTGGTGTGTGCACATGCGTTGAGACGTGAGCTGAATTCAACTAAGGGGTGTGGTACTGTGAAAGGGGGGCAGCGTGAGACAAAGTAAGCGCATCAACTGAAATTCTTCTTTGCAGGCAACACAGAGAGAGGCTGCTTGTGGTGACGGCACAGCTGTGTAGATAGATGAAGCAGGCCCCGCATGGTCCGGTCCTAGCTGAATGTTTCGCATGACTTCCTCGTGTCTCACAACCCATTAACAGACATGGCATGCAATTCCAACGCACAGCAGCAAACAGAGCGGCATGCACATCGGTCGTACTGGACACAGCCAAATGCGATCGTGAGCCTCTCTCGAGATCTGCAGCCACGCTTTGAAGGTTTGCAGCCAGGACACAGATGTGAGAGTGTTCCAGCAGCAGAGCTGCCTGCCTGCCTGCGGTCGGTTCCTTACCTCTGTTCGTGCCTTTGTGTGTCCGTGTCCGTCCATGCCATCGTCCATCCGCCCACGGCCATCTTACCTCACAACGGCTGTGGATGGATGGATGGATGGATGGGTGTTGTAGAATGTGTGGCCACCATCGGGAAAGCCCAAAACTTCTCTCCCCACCGGCATGCCACACACACGAAGGTTCACATGCGGTGCATCCCTTTCCTCCTTCCCTCCCTTCCATCAGCCCGTCCCACTCCCCCTCCCTCATTATCTACACAGCGATGAGACAGACAGTCAGTCCGTTAGTGGACTCCCAGCGCCACAAACGGAACACGTCCCAGCTGGCCCCACTGGAACACGCAGTCGGTGTTGCCCAGGTGGGTCTTGAGCCCCTTGACGACGCCCTGCAGCCCGTGAGCCGCCACTAGCCACCACCTCGTCCAGCCGCGCCTTGTGCACCACCTGACGCACCCCCAGCCGGCGCACACTCGACCCGGCCCTCACGGCGAAGCACTGCATCAGCACCCGCACCATCTTGCCATCCACACTCTCCATGTGGCCCACCACCTCCCTGTTGCTGCTGGGCAGCCGCGCACACACGGCGGGACAGGACGCTCCCCCGCTCACCGATGGTCAAACTGATGCCCGCCTTGGCGGTGTACACAAAACCAGCTGCCCTGTACACAAAACCAGCAGCGTTGTACAGAAAACCGGTTTTTGGAGGCAGAGAACCGGGTTTTGGAGGCAGAGAACCGGGGCCGCTGACGCCTGCCGAGCGCTCCGTGATGACCGCTGGACATCTGTAGCCTGATGCCCGCCAACTGCTCCCTGGCCGATCGGCCGACTCATGCCGCCTCAATCAAACAACTGAGGCCTGCGTATGTGTGTGTGTGTGTGTGAGGATGTGATTGTCGGCTGAAGGGGTGCATTGCGCGTTCGTTGGTGTGCCGCATTGATGATCAACGGCCTGCAGGTGTCTCTGTGACAGGTAAAGCAGTCGGACAGCCAATCAGCCCGACCGACATCAGACTCAAATCGTCACTCAGTCACTCCGGTCCCTTTCAATCTGATGTCTCACATGAAATGACGTCAATCCGATTGAGGCGGTGGAGATGCCAAATGAGGGATGAACGAATGAGGGGAGGGATTGACAGTACTTATGAATGAATGGCATTTGAGTTGTGCGACAATGTTTGTGTGCTGTGGCGATGGGTGTCGCGAGCCGCGTGCTGTGCACTTTCGCTCTCATACATACAATTGGGCACATGTGTCAGTTAGCGATATCATCATGATGTCATTTTTCACTTGACGTGATTGTCGGCACGGCATGCGTCTCTCGTGGGTCTGTCTCTTGTCCCTCCCATCCCTCCCCCCCCATCCCCCCCCTCATGGAATGGATATGTCCACATGGACCGCACACACGCACACACACACATCAGATGCAGTGAGTACAGTAAGTTGCTATTAACAAAGAATCAGCACAGCACAGCACAGCACAGCACACACAAACAAAGACAACGAAGCACTCAGGCAGGGCACATCACGTCAGGTCGCGTCAGAACTCGGTGCACCGACGACTTGACAAAGCACCGATATAACACACACTAACGTACGAGTGTATGCACAATGAGAGCTATTCAGAGAGAGACAGACAGAGAGACAGACAGAGAGAGAGCTGTTTCATTCACACACAACGAAGAGCAGATGCAGCCGACTAGGCTGCGCGAGACAGTGAGTGGCAGTGACTGGCGCGGCGCTGCCGGCCGACCAGCGAACGAACGAACGAACGAAGAACTACCTACACACGAATCTCACTTACTAAGCTAGAGCACACCACACCACAGCGAACCACAGACAGTGCAGTACACCAACATGCCGCAGACATACACACACATACATATCCGCCGCTACAGACAGCAGGCAGGCAGGCAGGCAGTCTTCCCCCCGGCCGTCTTCCCCCCGGCCGTCAGTGCAGCTTCTCGTCAGCGAACCAGCCCTGGGGGGCCCTTACGGGGTCCTCGGCTCCTCCGTCGTAGGCTCCTGCGTGGGGGCTTCCGTCGGAGCCGCCGTCGGCTCCTCCGTGGGGGTCCATTTGCAATCGGCACATGTGATGGCCTTCAGTGCGTTGACCTGGCCCCCCGTGACGCACAGGCCCTCGAGCGAGTCCATCTTCTCGGAAGTCGACAGAATGCGATGCTTGATGTCGCGATAGCTCTGCGCCGGATCCATCGACCACAGAAGGGCAGCCAAACCTGAAGTCACAGACAAAGCAGCGATTGAGTGGATCGTCTAATGGGTATCACACAGCAGTCCTCAGTGCTTGCGTACCAGCGACGAATGGCGTTGCCATGCTGGTGCCGCTGGATGAGCTATACTTGCCACCGGGCATCGTCGAGGCGATTCTCGTCCCCGGCGCAAATACGTCAACGCTCTTTAGGCCGTAGTTGCTGAACCACGCCTTCTCTCCTTCCTTATTCGACGCGCCGACGCTGATGATGCTGTCCAGCTCAGATGATGCCGAGTAGCCTTTCCTGGGGCCGTCATTGTCGTTGTCGTCGTTGCCAGCCGCGGCGACGAACAGCATGTCGGCCTCCTCTGCCTCCCTGATGGCCTCCTCGAGCCCTGGATGTGCTCTAGACCCAAGGGAGCCCCAGCTGTTGCTTGTCAGTGTGGTCCCCATGGCAACGGCATAGTTGATCGCGTGGAGCGCGTCAGCGGTGTACCCACTACCATCCTGATGTAGGCGCACACAGACATGTGATTTGAGCGCCCCGCGACCCTATGTTTACTCGACTTACCTCGCCGCAGAGGAATTTGAGTGCCATGATCTTGGTTCTGCCAAATGCCACGCCTGCGATGCCCTCCTGGTTGTTGGCAGTCGCCGCTATCGTTCCACTGCAGTGGACACATACAGACCCAGGAATGCATGCAGATCGTGTGTGTGGATGTCCCTTCCTCCCTCCCTCCCTCCCCCCCTCCCTCCCTGCCTACCGTCGTCATCGATGCCGTTGCCAGCGATCTCGCCTTGATTGACCCACATGGCGTCCTTGAGGTCTGGATGGGTGTAGTCGACACCGGTGTCAATCACCCCGACCACCGTACCTTTGCCCACTGAGTCGGCCCCACTGTCCGTCTCCTGCTGCTGCTCAGACAGGAAGGCCCACGCCTCGGGCATATCGATGCTGGCCATCCCCCACTGCTCCTTGAAGATTGGGTCGTCGGGCACGAAGCGGTTGGGCTCCTGTGCTGCCCGGGCACGCAGCCTGCGGCCAGAGGCCGTCGCAACAACGGCATCCGGCTCGCAGATGTCGATCTCATCCGACGCCAGGAGGGCAGCCTCGCATGTGGCCGCTGCATCGACACCTAGCGGCAGATCCACCACGTCCATGGACAAGCTGTTGAGGTGGTGGACCGTCGTCTCAGCCGTGTGCACGGTGGTCTCGGCTGACAGGGACACCTGCAGTGCCCTCGAGATGGTCTCTGCGCGGGCAAGGCCCTCGGTGTGTGGGTGCTTGAGCTTGACGATGATGCGGTGGATGCCAGCTGCACCAGCTGGACGCGGTGGCGGACTGCTGAGGGCACGGACACTCGGCTGGTCGTTGGCGGCTCCATCACTCACCAGGCTGAATGTGCTGTAGGAAACCGTAGGGGTCTTGTTTGCAGAGGGCTGACTGGCCACCAGGGACAGGGCGACCAGCAGAGTCCACACGATTCCCGCAAGCTGAGCCATTGCCGACGATAGATAGATAACAGGGCGATAGAGAGCGATAATCGAGTCGTCGAGGAAGGATCAAGGTGATGATGCCAAGAGAGAGGGCGAGGCAAGAGTAGATCAGGTGGAAGGCTCGAAGGTGGGAAGTGAAGATCTGGGACGATATCTGCCTGATGATAGATGGAGGGATAGAGGGATAGATAGATGGATGGATGGATGGATAGATGGAGGACGAAGAACCCTCCCCTCCCTCCCTCCCTCCCTATTCCGTGATACCGCTCTCCAAACCACATCTCCCCTAACCAACCGGGTAGCTTAGCGCGCAGGCGCGAGAGAGCTCGGGCCTTCAGAGGATGGTTGCGCGAGTGGTGCTGTACCTGATCTGCGTCATCACCATCGTTTTCCGCTGCCTGGCCCAGGTGGCTGAGTCTGAGGCCGTCGAGGGCTTCACACACGTGGGTTTTGGTGTGTGTGCATCTGGTGGCGAGCCCTCCGACTTCTACAGCCCCATTGTGGAGGAGGGAGTCGTCACGTCGCTCGGATCTGTGCGCGAGCAACGTGAGAATGACTCAGTGACTCATCGCATCTGCTGCAGATCTCATGTGGATGCGTGTCCGTGACTGTGCAGTTGCAGCGCTTGGCATTCCTGTGGCTGAATGCGTAAGCCAAACTCACTCACTTCCTGAATGTACAAGCGACTGCATCTCTCTCCGGCGCGTGTGTGAGTGTGTGTGTTCGTGTTCGTGTGAATTCTGTATGCAGGCCCGTCTGTGCAGGGATCTGTCTGCCGACTTGGGCGTGTGCCAAGGCATCCAGCACGACAACACGACCGACTCATGCCTCATGATTCTAGGCGACAAGCCAGACGGCGGCACCGGCGGAGAGGCCAACGAATGCTTCAGACTCGTCGATGGATGTGAGAAAAGAAAGGGACACACACAGAGAGGGATACAGCAAAGTGAGCGGAGTCTTGTGTACGTGCCTCTTCAGCGTTTGAGAGTGTTGGCACCGGTTTCTGCCGCGTCGAGAACGAGGAGGGCATGATCATCGGGCCTTTTTACCCCTTATACGACTCACCGGGGACCAACATCACGGCGGAGTACTGCTTCGAGTGAGCGAGCCATCCCATCACACACACCCACATTTACACGAACACACAACATCTCTCTGTGTGTCTGTGTCTGTAGGTATTGTCTGCGGATGAACGAAGAGGAGGGCGCCATCAGCACGCAGACTGACCAGTCCTTCTGCACGGGCGTGGAGGTCCGCGACCTGTGCGAGCTGCAGGTCGTCATGGCGCCCACCACCGCCTCGCTCTCCGTCTGCTATGCCAAGAACTAACTGACTTGACATGACGACATGTCAGTCGGTCAAGAGACACACCTGTGGACTCACAAGGCAGACAGTGGAGGGAGGAGAGCCAGCGACCGAGTTGTGTGTGTCTACGGGAGGGAGGGAGAGAGGGAGGGAGGGGCGGCGTATCTGAGTTTGGTAGTGAGGTTGTGTCGTGTCTTTTTTCGTGTGCGATGGTGTGCCGTGGAATCATGAGTGCCGCTTTATGATACATGCGTGGTCATGCAGCGCGACGCGCTGTGGTCGGTACGTATGGAGCAAAGGAGTGCATTTTCTCCCTCGCTCCCTCCC